AAAAATCTTTAAGAGATGACATGAGCAGCCCTACCAGCATTTGCCATGGTGGCCTAAACATTTTTATTTGGTCTTAAATTGTAGTTCAACATTTATTTCCTGTTACTTCTGGACCATGACGGTTGGCCAGCCTTCAACGTTTAACTGAGTGGAATATGTTGAATATGTTTTTCCAAAATGTTGGCTATATGTTAAGGAGTTTTCAGTAGGTTGTGACAGTGCACTGCAACATATTTGATTTCATTTATTTTGGTCTTATTTATTTTTATTTATCATATTAATATATGTTTAGTATGGTTTTGGAAGTGTGCTCCAACACATTTATTGATCTTGTTTATTGGTAAAATATTATTTGTTTTAAAGTTCAATAAATGGTCAATGAATAATCGTCAAAATAATCGTGATATCAATTATTGACCAAATAATCGTGATTATGATTTTTGCCATAATCGCACAGCCCTAATACAGAGAGTATGCAGTTTCATATTTTTTAGTCTGCTCAGCACCCGATTATTTTGGGATTTCCATGGCTAAAGACACACAATCCTCACATTGACCTTGCAGGGTTTTTCTTCGTGGGAAAGAAAGACGGGTCTCTGAGACCTTGCCTAGACTACAGTCCACTTAATGATATTACGGTGAAAAACCGCTATCCTCTACCACTTATGTCATCTGCTTTTGAACTGCTTCAAACTTACCAAGTTAGATTTAAGAAATACATATCACTTGGTTAGAATAAGAAAGGGGGATGAGTGGAAGACAGGATTCAATACTCAGTGGTCACTATGAGTACCTAGTAATGCCTTTTGGACTATGCAATGCACCGGCTGTGTTTCAAGCTTTTGTGAATGAGGTTTTGCGGGACTTTTTGAATGTTTCGGTATTCATGTATTTTGATGATATTTTGATTTTCTCCCCAGACACTAAATCTCATGTTAACCATGTCCGCCAGGTTTTGCAGAAACTGCTTGAGAATCAGCTATATGTCAATGCAGAGAAATGTGAGTTCCACACAGAAGAGGTTTCTTTCTTAGGATACATAATCTCACCCAATCATATCCAGATGGATCCTGCTAAAATCAGTGCAGTTTCCCTTTGGCCCACACCAGACTCCAGGAAGAAGGTTCGGCAGTTTTTAGGGTTTGCTAACTTCTATAGGAAGTTTATTCGGAATTTCAGTTCTGTTGCTGCCCCTCTGCATGTTCTGACTCCTCCTGAGGTTCCCTTCAAGTGGACTCCACAGGCAGACTTCGCATTCCAACACCTCAGAGAGAGATTCACATCAGCTCCTATACTCACCATTCCAGATCCCCATCGCCAGTTTGTGGTCGAGGTTGATGCTTCCAATGAGGGAATTGGAGGAGTATTGTCTCAGCGTTCTGAAGAAGACAACAAAATGCATCCATGTACTTACCTGTTGCGGAAGTTGACTACGGCAGAGAGGAATTATGATGTGGGAAACAAGGAACTGTTAGCCGTAAAAGCTGCCCTCGAGGAATGGAGACACTGGCTAGAGGGGGCAGAGCAGCCGTTTTTAGTCTGGACAGACCACAAAAATCTGGAGTACATAAGAAAGGCTAAACGCCTCAACTCCCGTCAGGCCAGGCGGACACTATTTTTTAGTAGGTTCAACGTCACACTCTCTTTTCGTCCCGGATCCCAGAATCAAAAACTTGATGCTTTGTCTCGTCTTTACGTTCCAGAACCACTTGCTGTAGAGCCCAAGACCATTCTTCCACTTAACCGTGTGGTCGGAGCCTTTTTCTGGCAGGTGGAGTCAGACGTTAAAAAGGCGAATGTCATGAATCCAGCACCTAGTGAGTGTCCCAACAATCTGCTGTTTGTTCCTGAGGCTCTTCACTCCAAGGTCATCCACTGGGCTCACTCATCCGTGCTTTCGTGCCATCCGGGAGTAACAAGGACATTGTTCAGGATAAAACAGCGGTTCTGGTGGCCAGCCATGAGGAAGGATGCGGCGGAGTATGTAGCGGCTTGTCCGGTGTGTGCGTGTAATAAGACCTCGTCTCAGGTCAAGATGGGCTTACGGTCCTAAGAGTGGTGGATCGATTCTCAAAGATGGCTCACTTCATCCCATTGACCAAGCTTCCCTCTGCCAAAGTCACCGCAGAGGTCATGATGAATCAGGTATTCAGGATCCATGGATTCCCTGATGACATTGTTTCCGACAGGGGTACACAATTCATTTCCATTTTTTGCAAGGAGTTTTGTCGACTCATAGGTGCCACCGTCAGTTTGTCATCCGGATATCACCCTCAGTCAAATGGACAGTCGGAGTGTCTGAATCAGGAACTGGAGACTACGCTACGCTGTCTCGTCTCCCAGAACCAGACCACCTGGAGTGACCACCTCACATGGGTCGAGTTTGCCCACAATACTCTTCCTACCAGAGGTCGCGTTAACCGAATATTTTCCGTCTATGACGGATTTTTTTTAACAATGACGGAAAAATCTGGAAGCAGTCCGTCATTTTGACGGATTAGAACAAACTCGGAACAGCGCCAAAGTTTCCCCGCAGCAAGGCTCCGGTGTTATGCATGCCTGCCAAAAAGGAAATGATACCGTTTCTAAACCCAACTTTGCCGTACAAATCATTGAAATGTCTGAGTTTTGGCTTTACGCTGTGCGCACCCCCGCGAGGTGCAGTGGGCATGCATAACACGGCGCTAACAGTTCACGAGCGTGCGCCCCGCCCCCCGTTGACAGTTCACGACCGTGTTCTCCCCCCCCACACCCCCGTTGACAGTTCACGACCGTGCTCTCCCCCCCCACCCCCACACCCCCGTTGACAGTTCACGACCGTGCTCTCTCTCCCTCTTGGCTGGGTAGAGCCTATTTGGTCTGAATAAGCCCATAGCTCCCCCCTGCAGGTGCCAGCGCAAGTGGCTATACACTGCGCACTATGTTTCCCAGGTCCCTAAGGAGCATGGGGAGAACGTAAGTGCATCATGTCCCCCACACTCACACACGCTTACCTCGTGTAGAATGTGCATGGACTGTAGTGGGGAAGGCTTCCAGCCCTGTAGGCTTACTGCGCACCACGTTTCCCAGGTTCCTATGGAGCATGGGACAACGTAAGTGCATTATGTCCCTGGGGGTCAGATACAGCTTACTGACCCACAGCCCTCCTCCTTTCACCACTCCTGTGTTGCCCCAGCAAGCACCGACGATGAAAAAGGAGCCAGACATGTCTAAGAGATACTTACCTTATGAACGGGCCTGGCGTAGACCAAGACACCGCCGTGCATAGGTGGACGCCTAAAGCCGTCTAGCTGTATAACCCTCGACCTGGAAGAACTCCTTAGGTTCTTGGGAACAGAGGAGGGGTTCGGTCTGAGTGTCGCCCTGCTACGGTCACCACGAACCAGAAGGCATCCAGGGTGCACCGATAGAGCGGTCAGTTTGCATATACTTTCTTGGCAGAATTCAAAGCAAGCAGCAAAGCTGTTTCTTTTTGCTTCTCTCTCTCTCTCAATTATAGCACCTACAGGGAGGAGAGCTCCAGAGGCTCAAACAGTTCTGTAACCAAAGCCTCGAGCACCAATGGCAGTTCCCATTGCGGGGTGGAGACATGCACCACTGGGCGCTGTCTCCTGATCCCCTGCAAAAAACGCTTCATAAGCGGTTGGCTAAAGACTGGTCTGCCGCCAAATCCCGCATGACAGGACGAGGTGGCTGCTGCATACACCTTGACTGTGGCATGAGCAAGCCTCTTGTCTACCAGTATCTATAGCTAGGATATAATAGAGCCCAACTTGCTAGAAAGCCAAAACACAGGAAGTATTTGCCTTTTGTACGTCTTTTATACATGAGAATATGTGTCCCCGGTGTGTCAGGGAACTCACCAAGTGTCAGAAAACACAACCCTCTCTCTTTTCCTCCATACCCAAATCTCTAAAAATGGGGCTGCAACGGATCTGATACAGACTGATACAGATTTGAAAGTTCTCTGACGTCAGGAACGAGGAGCTCCGCCTATATGGGCAACTCTCCACCTATCAGGGGAATGTGGGGTTGGGCCACGGCCGGCCATTGCTGCTTGAAAGCTCTGGAGATGCTGTAGTACATATGCCAGGCCTGTAAGTGGTGCTGTAGTCTGCCACAAAAGCAGCGAAGAAGAAGACTTCCCGCGTATGGTTGGCATGGTTGTCCTTCTGTTTATTCTCTCCTTTTCTCCCTCCCCGAGGCAAGCGTTTGCTCCTGCTGCTGTTATTCAATGCAATCCCTCCCTCGCTGTAATTCTCTCCGATTAGTCCACCAGCAGATGACAAACACCCACCTCTCCGCCTCTTCCAAGGAACGAGGGGACCGTGCAGCAGAATGTCAGTTAGATTTTTTTCCGCCGGTCAACATGTCCGTTAAAGTTTAAATCTTCCGGACAAAATTAGAAAAGTGCCGGTCAAAGGTCTTCTTTGTTATTTATTGAGCTGTAAAACAAATGAATAATGACTCTATATAATCATATAAGAATAAAACACGGTGGACGGAGATCTCTTTTTCTCCCCCCCTCTGAGAGCCCAGCAGCTGATCTCAAAGCAGGCTCCCCTCTCCTGCAGGGGGGCGTGGTCAGCTGCATTTCATTTGCATTAAAGCTACGTGACAGAATCAGCCCCTGCAAAAACAGGGCTGGAAAGGTCAAATAGAGCGAAATGAGGCATGGCTAAAATGCAGGATCTGTTTGCTATTTTGAAAAAATATATATATTGATATACTTTATATAGGTATGGCCCTATAATATATTGTTCAAATATAGCATGATAGGTCCACTTTAACTAAGGTACTAAACAGTCAGACTCCTGCATTTTTCTTGCAAACCTTGTTGCTCTCTATACTATGTAACTTGACTTTTGTATTGACATGTGGGTTACAAATTGATTACGTGAGTTGCAATAAATAAAGTGCCTTATTTTGTAGGTATATTTCCCTACAGTGAATGAGAAAAGCCTGAACATTTCTTGCCTACTTGTTTTCTACCCCTTAAGGTGGCGGCAGAGTGGACTTCGAAGACTTTGTGGAACTGATGGGTCCTAAAATGCTCGCTGAGACAGCAGACATGATTGGAGTCAAGGAGCTGAGGGATGCCTTCAAAGAGGTCTGCCAGACAATTTGTAGCAAAAAGATCACCCCCTTTCACAAACTTTAACTTGTTTCAACTGTATTGCATGTATTTGTATGTGCTTTCAATGTTTCATACTCCTTTTTTTTATTTCCCAGTTTGACTCTGATGGTGATGGTCAGATCAGCCTCGGTGAGCTGAGGGAAGCCATGAAAAAGCTAATGGGGGAGCAGCTGAACCACCGCGAGATAGACGAGATCCTGCGAGATGTTGACCTCAATGGGGACGGAGAGGTGGACTTCGAAGGTATGTGATTTCAGAAAGAAAAATATAAAAGGGAAAACAATTGTTTTATGTGGTACTCACCAGTCACCACTCAGCTTGTTTTTCAATCAGGCTAATAAGATCAGATTTAGAATCAAGTTTATGGCCAAGTATGTTCACACATACAAGGAATTTGCTTTGGTATTCAGGCTAACTAAATACAGAAATGGAGTATTGAAGAAAGTATGTATTTAAAAGCCATACTCCCTTCCCTTCAACAATAACACTACACCTTTTTTTCCACAGAGTTTGTGCGAATGATGTCTCGCTGACTCTTCACCAAACCATTGCGCTACTGCACCAACATGGACCGGACTGCACACCGTTTAATTCTTCATGATGTACAATAATCTTATTGGTGTTTGTAGTTTTCCGTTAATTCAACATCTCTCAAGTATAAGAGAATCCATTTGATGTGTAACTGTTGTATGAATGTAATAATGTATAATTTATTTAACATGTACTAAGAGATTGTAAAGTGATAATTCAGCAGATGGTTACTCAAAGCTTCTCTTCAGAAGTGGATTTAAATTTGAATGTATTTGAACTGTGAATACCATACGAGCAACAATTTGGTTTGCAGTACATAACAGAAGTTACCTGATTTGTCAGTTTACACACAGTATTCTATCAATCAAGTTAAAATTAGAAGATAAGTTACTTTAGGTGTTCAGTTGGCCTGTTGAGATTTCCGAGGATGTTTTCTTTTTGTAATTTGGGTGAACTGGCCCTTTAAAATGCAGTTTACTATATAAACTGCGTGAATCTTAAGTATTTATTATCATTTACCACAAATGTACTATCTAAGCTCTTCCATTCATAAAATTGTGACTGTCATTACTGTTGAATATTGTAGTGTAGAAGGCAAAAGTGACATTGGGTTATTTATACACTTTTATTGCACAAACAGCCTCAAAAATACATAACAAAACTTTTATTCAGGACTTTTGATACGATACAACCTATATCTGCAAATAAATCTTGCAGATGTTGTATATTCAGTGTCAACTATCTTTTTGATACAAATTTGATAACAATAACAGGATTGTTCTTTTTGGTCTACACACCTGTCACAGGTCCTGTTTCTTTGTTCAGGCCAAAATGAATATACAGAATGTCACAAAGTAGTACTTGCTTATTTTCTGCAACTATATACATGTTTAATGTTTGTACAGTGTCAGATATTTTAAGAAATTCATTATACATTTTAATGCATTAACAATGAATAAGAGTGACAATAAATGAGTTTATATTGCTCAGTAATCTTTGATCTTCTCTCTTTTTTTTAAATAAAATTAAAACATGCTCCAGGGAAATAATTGGATTTTCCCTTTGCCATCTTTACCTGTCTCACAAACCTTTCCAGAATCTATCCACATTGCTGATAAATTGCATCAGATCACCTCTTCCCTGGCACTTTTTGAGGTCCCCTATGAGTCTCTTTTTCAAAGCATGTGCCGTCTCACTGTAGTCAACACTGAAAGGTGCCATAGGTGGAGTCCCGTTCCAAACCGGAGGCATGTACCAACTGAAAGTGTCTCGATCAAACTCCATCACATCTGAGCACTTAGTGATGTTGTCCTTCCTCATCTTAGTGTCCTTTCGGATCACTTAATTGAGCTGTTTCACCAACTCTTTACCTCTCTTCTTCCTCTCTACATCAGGACTTTCTGATATGTTGGTGTGCACAAAATGACAGAGTGGCTTCTTGCCCACATTCTTCAACCTCGTGAAAGCATGAAGCACCATTTCTAAGAGATCTTTCTCTTTTGAATTGTCACTGGAAACACTGACGATTGTGGCGTCACTAAGTGCTACAGCGAGGCTGGCTACTTCTATGTCACGTTCATGGCTGTGATCATCTTGGACAATCTGATGTGGTTTCAGTCCCTCTGTGTCAATTATCATGATGCAGTCGCACTCCAGTTTCCTCCTGACGTGTTTGTTGACATTGATCAGGTGGATGAACGCCCCTCTGGTGCATGTGCCTTTGCTGACTGCAAACCTGACCCCAAACATGGTGTTTAGCAGAGTCGATTTTCCTGCGTTCTCAGCTCCGATGATTGTGATGACTTTCAGCTTACTTTTGGAATGCATAGACTTGTGAAGCTCCCTTAGCACCTCAGTGATCCATTTCAACGGAATGTTTGCAACATCTCCATCAACGAGCTCAAGAGGGAAACCATCTAGCAGCATCTGAGCACAGAGTTCAGGAAGTTGTTCCAAGGTCTTTCTTTGACTGCTGAATTCTGGCAGGTGGTTCGCACATTGGAACAGCTGGTCACACTCTCGGAAAAAGTGCTCAAGGCGTAAAGAACGAGCTGATATTTTCTGATCAATCTCTGCAATCTTTTCTGTGTCTTCAGGACATTTTTCCCTTAGCTCTTTATATTTATCTTTCAGATCCGACAGTTCATTTCGGGACAGATTGTCCAAATCCATTTCCAGCCATTTGAGGAAATAGTAGCGTTACACTTCTGAGGCCACCCCGTGAAAGAATCTAAGCATTGCAGCTTTTATCTCTAATCTTTGCTGGTGAGTTTTAAGATATTTTTCTGTTATTTTTAAAGACTTGCGGTAGTCCTCAATGTTTTCATTGCCAGCGTTTCGCAGTCTCCAGTACTCAGTTTCGAGCAATGAAAGCTCTTTCCAGATGTGTCCCTGGGAAGGTAGTTGTTTTTCTTTGAACTTAGAGGGGTCAGCGATGTGTTGGATGATGTTATCTGCATTCTTCCTAACACCCTGGCATTCATCAATGTCCTCATCAACCAATATATCACAGCGGCGAGCTGTGTCTGCCAAATTTGCCAGCGACACTTTGACTGGGCAGTTTCCAAGCATCTTAGGGACTGATTCCTGGAGGGCCTTTACCAGTTCTGACTCTGTATTTTTCCTCTGGCTCACAGTAGTTGTCTTTAAACTAGGTGTGATTGCCATCGTTTTGAGTGTGAAGCTTTTCCCCTGTATGCTGCTTATCAAAAGCAACCTGGCTTCCACAACCATCCGTTCCAAATGCTTGAAGTAATCAATTTCTGACTCATCACAGAAGATGTACACAGCTGCAGAGGTCTGGCAGAGGAATGAGAACTGCTTGTCGAAGTCCCTGATGTCTCCTCTGAGGTTGGCGACGGCCAGCGGCTCAGTGAATTTGTCTGTGTTCTTTTTCCCACACGGGAGGTACCAGGTCATTTCAACTAGCCCCTCAGAAATCTTCCTGGGTACATCACCACCCTCCATGTTACGATTATAAAATATATCATAACACTCCTTAGTGTTGCTGAGCAGTTTGTTCAGCACCTGAGATTTGGACAGGCTCGTCCTCCCCAGCCTGACGAACGACAGCAGAGGAATATCAGTGAGCACAAGTCTTTCTTCACAGCTTAAGTTTCTGAATGCCAGTTTGGAGGGGCTGAAGGTCCGAACTATTTCGCGCATAGCCCACAGCATCATGGTGATTTCTCTTGTGTCATGGTTGGGCATGAGGAGCGGGACCGCAAACTGGCACAGTGCCATTTTCACAACCATGTGTTGCTGAAGAAAGCCGTCGGAACAGAGAAACAACGCAGTTATCAGGTCCAACGGATTGATGGTGTTTTGCTTGTCTGTATCAACATCTTTGGACGCACATTTAACACTTCGAGCATTTGCATTTAACATCATGAGTTTCCTCAAAAAAGCCTCAGGATATGACTTTGGGCTTTCAAGTTTGCTCTCTGATGTATCACTTTGATTGATCTCAAGAACAGTGCTTAGTGTGAGCTTGTCATCATAATAGTCTTCAAGGCCCATCTTTGACAGCACCTTCCTGAAACAGGCCTCTGTGGATCAACACGAAGAGATAGATGAATGAGGATGTCACAGTTTGCTCCATATCTATTAGTTAGAGGGGAATTCCATACAAACTTTGACTAATTATTTATTAAGATCAATTAGTCTCAGAACTTATCCATGGATCGAGCAATTTATTCTAATTCAAAATGTGTTTTATTCTTAAACACCTTTTGTTTATTTTCCCCCACTCTCTCTCATATAATTCTCTTGCACTTATGAAAAGTTAGCATGTTAGTATGAACAGTGTGATTTTAAAATAAAAGCAGGGGATATAAGCCCTCACCTGTGAGTATCGTTGTAGAGACAGGCTCACTGCATCTGTCGATCAGCATTGTTGAGACTTCGATGGTGTATTCCGTCCCTGGCTCTAAATTAGAGATTGTCTTGAAGCACTCTTTTGTCTGTATCGCTAGTGGCTCTTTTCCATGACTTTTGAGGGCTATAATGAACTGATGCTTAATTCCCTCCATGTTTTCCCCTTTGGTCCATTTCAAGGTCACGGCGCTGGCCTCTGAATGTGTTTTGGTTAAGAGCCGAGGGGCTGGCACCGCTGTAACAGAGTAGTCATTTGAAAATACATTATTTTTCATGCACACACTCCAGTGTAAAGATATTTAATGGTTTGTCATCTCAAATGTTTACCTGTGTAAACAAAGTTCTCAACCCATTCACCTAAATTGCCATCATTGTCTGTGGCAACACTGAATATATACCGCTGTCCAAGCTCAAGGTCGTTTATTTCAAATTGATGAGCATCTTTGACGACAGAGTAACCTTCCAGCTCCCTTCTGTGGATCCACTCTCCTTTAGTCCACTTTACTCTGAAGATCTTGGGCCCCTTCAGTCCCTTTGGCACTCCCCAGCTCAGGATCACAGAGTCTGTTGTCACTGACTGGAACTCTATTTTACCAGGAGGGGGCACCACTGGCAATCATAAGAAAGCACAAGAAATCATTTGTGTGATTCATGTTACACCTTATATCCATAGGCAGCGTGTGAGGCTCAGGTTTGGGAAGGCTAAATAACTTTTTTTTACCTGACGCTGCCCGCCTCCGGCGTCTATAGAAAAGAGATCAACTCAGTGAAGGCACTGCCTGCTGACCAATCAGAGCTCAGTGTACGGAGTTTAAATCTATCAAGTCATTTTACAGGATACAGGAAATACAGTTTAAACTGCCGTATGCAGAGAAGACGCCGACGTGTCGCACTTATCATTCATATCACATCATCAATCAGATCATCGATCATATAATATCATAATATAGCCTATCATATATTTCCTTATCTGAGTCAGCTTCTCCAGCCGTATCTGGCCGTGCAACACTTACAGTGTCACATACTGTATGCAGACGTATTATTTTAAACAACACATTAAAGGTGGGGTAGGTAAGTTTCAGAAACCGGCTCGAGTGCAGTAAAATTTGAAAGTACACAGCCGAAAAGAATCCGCCCTTTGCTTCAGACTTCCTTACAGAGCACCTCCTCCAACACACATGAACGCGCACATGACGTCAGCAGACTGATGAAAGTGGCCGCCTGTTGCTGGCGAGTCATTGAAGTACTGCTGCAAAGCACGCCCAATGACGGCACGCCCAATGAGGGCACGAGATACATTTGTGCGTGCACGAGATGGAAGGCTGACGACCCGTCCGTAATAACAGACAAGGCGGCAATCCAATCCGTTTAGCCGGCCCGGAGAAACGGCTAAACGGAAAAAAGCTGTAAAAAGAATTACAGCTTCCACAGATGACATTTTCTTATGGATTTTTTGTCAAAGCACTTAAGATATTCATTGCTATCGGGATGTTAAGAGCATTCCATGGAATATAACAAAAAGTGTATCTCGACCCGGTTTCTGAAACGTACCTACCCCACCTTTAAGTTGATGAAACACTCAAATCAAATGTAATTAAAGTCAGATCCACTCGTGTTTTAGATGGGGCAGTGATATCATAAAACTGTTGTACGCTTTCAACACTTGGTAGTTTATTTATTTTTTAACCAGTTGTTCTGTATTCTCCTTGCAGGTGCAACTATGTGGCTTGTATCCTGGATTATATGTTTAAGTCATGGATGTTTAAAGCTCATATTTGTCTAATATTATTTTACTTTTCATTAATGAAGTATGATGTTGCGCTGTCAGTACACTTGTCCCTGTTTGTGATTGGTCAAATGTAGCTAACCCCGTCCCTTTCACGTGAACGCGCTCTCAGCTGGAGAGAGAAACCCTGGCTTGATTCACCGAGTTGATAACCAGCGTCGTAGGACCGCTTAGCGAGATCTCGTTTGTTAGGGTTAGTTAAGATAACTCGAGCATATCCAGGGTCTGTTAA